CTGGATTTTCCATGGGTCTGGCAAATCTTGTTTAGAAGCAGCATTGCACTCATGCCATTTGTTCTGCTCGAGTTTTAGTTCAAAACTGCATTTTAGCTCTGGATTTCCCTATTTCCAGTAGACACCCCCTGACTGCATTTAATATCTCACTGTAAATGTCACCCTGCAACGAGCTCAAGTGTTAAAATCAAAATGCAGCAGCAGTCCCAGAGGTATTGCTGTGGAAATGACCCAGAAAAATGGGAAAGTTTTCTGGGGGAAAAAAAAAAGGAAATCAGGGATCTCAAGATGTTCCCAAACTTCCAGTGGAGCTCCGGCAGAAGGCAGGATAAGGAAATCACCTCAGGCTGGGCCAGGAGAGGTTTTGAATGGATATTGAGAAAAATTTCATCATGGAAAGGGTGGCCAGGAATTGGCACAGGCTGCCCAGGGCAGTGGTGGAGTCAAATCCCTGGAACTGCTCAAAAAAATCAGTGGATTGGACACTTTAGGATGTGGTTTAGTGGTGACCATGGCTGAACATGAGGATCTTAAAGGTTTTTTCCACCTTAACCATGCCATGAGTTAAATACTGGATTTTTCTTTATTTTTTGTAGCCCTGGACCAGAAATTCTTCTCCAAAGGGATCTGGAGGGTGCCTGAGTCCCACAGATGAGGCAGAATGAAAAGGCTGGGAAGGGAGCAGCAGCCAAACTCTGAGTTGTTTGCTGTTGGTTTTTATTTCATTCTAAACAAACCCAGGAGTTGTAGTAAACACAGCTCTGCTGCCCTCCAGCCTCCAGAAAGCTCCAAGACTTTACAAAATGCTCTGTAATTTCTGCCTATTTCTGGCTTCCTTTGATGTTCCAGGTGAGTGTTCCAAGCTGGACTCCCAGCTCCACTTTTCACCCTGCAGAGAAATAATGACAAAAGCTCCAATTCTTGTGTTTTACCCCCACAATGTTTCTATTTCAGTTTGAGGGATGGAGGGACCCCTCCCAACCTCCTGCATCCCCATTTCCTACCCTGGCAACGTGGAATTACAGCAGTGGGGGCAGAGCAAAGCATCCAACAAATGATGCAAAGGAAAGGCTGGGGAGGCAGGAGTGGCTTTGAAAATAACCCCTGCACTGAGTCAGGATCAAAGGAATTTCTGTTTATCCTTCCAGTTGCAAAGAGCTGGCAAATATCCCTGGGGCTGCTGCTGGAAATAGCAAATGCTGTTTATGGCTGGGCCTTGTTTGTGTGTTTTATGGGTCACACTTATTTCACAGGGATCACTTTTTGTTTGTTCCTCGTGCCCACAGCTTCCCCTGGGACTGAGCTGCCTCCTGGGCACGGTTCCTGCCTCTCCTGCTGGCCACCTGCAGGGCTCTGCTCCTCCATCCCTGCCTGGATTTCTCCACCTGTGCAATTCCTCAGTTCTGGCCTGGACCGGGAGGCTCTGAGGTTGTTTCTGTGCTAGAAATGGCTGGGATGGCACCAGAACTTTGTGCAATTTTGGGCGTCCCAAAAGAAAAAAGGTCTAAAGGGGTTAGAGAGCAACCAAGAAGGGACACGGAGATGGCGAAGGGTTTGGAGGAGCAGCTGAGGGCACTTGGAGTGTCCAGCTGGAGCAAAGAGCTCAGGGATCTGCAGCTCCTCCCGAGGGCAGCTCCCATCTCTGCTCTGGGACAGGGACAGCAGCCAGGGCACGGCTGGAGCTGGGCCAGGGCAGCTCAGGCTGGAGATCAGGGCAAGGTTCTTCCCCCAGAGGGTGCTGGCACTGCCCAGGCTCCCCAGGGAATGGGCACGCCCCCGAGGCTGCCAGAGCTCCAGGGATGCCCAGGGTGGGGCTGTTGGGGGGGTCTGGGCAGGGACAGGGTTGGATCCATGACCCTGTGGGTCCCTCCAGCTGAGGATATTCCATGAATTGATGATCATATGAAAGAACAGCAGGATAAGATTTACCAGTTGCAAATGTGGTCACTGTGTGGGCAGCTCCTTTTCTCCAAGGGGAATGACCCAAAACACCTGATGGATCAAGGCAAGGCACACAAAAGTCCCAGGAATCAGAGATCCCAGAATCCTGCGGTAGTTTGGGCAGGAGGGGATCTTAAAGCCCATCCAGTGCCATCTCCTACCATGAGTAGGGTCACCTTCCACTCTTCCAGGTTGCTCTGAGCCCCTCCAAAATCACTGTAAAACACTTCCATTGGCAGGAATGTTCCACAAAATCCCCTTTTCCACTGGATCTTTTGCTGGGTGGAAAAGCCACAGGAAACCAGGGAATTTAATGGTCATCCCTGGAGTCCAGAACATCTCAGACTCCAGGAGATGTTGGTTCAGTCAAGACCCTCTCATTTATCAGTGCTGAGATCCTCAGCTCAATCATCAGCTCAATCTTCCTCTCCACCAGAGAATTGCTGCTCATTTCTCCTCTGCCCTGACCAAAATCCAGCTTGGAGCAGTGCTGAGATCTTTGCATGAGCTGGGTCTGGGCTGGGGAACATCCATAAATCAGTTTGGAGAAGCCAAACCAGAATAACAGGGGTATTTAAAAGGGTCTTTTCTCAGTCTCCAGCCCAGCCCTGGCGGGGCCATGGTGGGACTCGGGAGCAGCCTGGGCAGGCTGGGCTCAGTTTGTGTTGGCTGAGCCCTGTGGCATTTCAGAAACCAAACCCCACACCCTGTCTCCAGCTCAGCCCTGGCCTGGCTGGGAACTCACAATAAATCCATACATTTTATCAGGGTTGGGGAAACTGGAATGCTGGAACGCTGAGCCCTGGAGGGAAAGCTCTGCCCCAGGCAGGAGATGGACTGGCTTAGCTAGAGCCAGGCTCAGTTAGACCAGGTATGAACCCACACTGAAACCAACCCCAGCTCTGCCAGGCACATCCTGACCATACTTCAGCTACTGCAGCTCTATTATCAAAGCCAATTAAAGCAAGAGGCTGAGGGACTGATTTACCCTGCTGCAGCCACTCACCAGGCAGGAGCAGTCCCCAATATTAACAGGAATTTAATTAGAGGGAGAATCTGAACTACTGAAAGAGATGGAGGAAGGGTTTTAACAGGATTTAGTAGGATCACACTGAGGAACCCCCCTCTGGTTTGGAAACCAAGAGAATTGCCAACATTTCACATTTGGGCAGCCCCAGTTAATGGGCTTTTGGTGGGAGGAGGTTGGTCGGATGTCCCAGAGCTGCCCCACAGCATCCCAGGCTCTGATAAGGAGCACTTAGGGCAGGATGTGCTTTTCCAAAGGGAATCTTCACCCTGGCAGCCCATCCCGAGGCCTCCTCCAGGTCTGGCTTGGAGCAGCCAAGGAGGGAAATGAGAACGGCTGCAGCACCCAGCCTGCTCCTGTGGCTGTGACCAAGAGGAGAAGTGTGGAATGTTCTGTCCCAGAGCTGCCCCATGTTGGGGGATAGAATATAAGAAAATAAAAATAGTGTAGAAAGTAATCTCACCCCTAAGGAGTTGCAGCTGGGCCAATTATCAAAGATTAGGAGGAGGCCTGGCTTTAACAGGCCACAGTTGTAACCAGTAAGGAGAAGAGTGCCATAAAAGAGTCAGTTGGCTGCTTTGTGAGGGAGAGAGAGTTAGTGCTCTGAGGAGCTGCCTGTGGGAAGACACCAAGAAGGTATGAAACTTTTGTGATAAGGAGACCACAGTATAGAACTTTTGCAATAACATGACAACAGTCCCACACTATCCCAGCCTCTGATATGGAATATTTAGGGCAGGGTGTGCTTTTCCAAAGGGAATCTCCACCCTGGCAGCCCATCCCGAGGCCTCCTCCAGGCCTGGCTTGGAGCAGCCAGAGTGAGAAATAAGAAGAGCTCCAGCACCCAGCCTGGTGCTGTGGCTGTGACCCAAAGGAGAAGTGTGGACTGTTCTGTCCCAGACCTGTCCCACACCACCCCAGGCTCTGATAGGGAATATTTAGTGCTTTTCCAAAGGGAGGGCCCATCCTGAGATCTCCTTCAGGCCTGGCTTGGAGCAGCCAAGGAGGAAAATGAGAACGGCTCCAGCACCCAGCCTGGAACCGTGGCTGTGAGCAAGGGATATGTGGAGTGCTCAGTAACCAAATTGATTAATAATTCAAAGATTGCATTTAATCTCTCCACAGAATAAAGCAGGAGACCGGGCTGGGCCTTGCTACAACAATCTGGGCTCTCCTGTAAAGTTTCCTGGTGGAATTTCGAGTTGCTCTTTGGTTACAGTTAAACAATTGGCAGATGTGATGGCAGAAAATTAATTTTCTGCTAGGAGGATTGGAGTGGTTTGAGCTTTTGGGGTGATTTCTGAGCATGTTTAAAAGCACTGGTGCAACTGAGATGTCATTTAGGGCACCCTTCCAGACTCCAGGTCTGCTGTGGAGCTTCCTGGTGCCCAGAACAAGGAGATGGAGCACAGAAAAATTGAATTTTGCCTCCATAATGGGAAAATCGGTTGGAAAATATACAACCAAAATCATCCTCTTCATCCCCATTACAGAAATGCACATCGAGTGAAAAGAGCAGGGGCAGCAGCACATTTCTTATTCATCCTCTGCAAATATTCCATTGAAGTTTGCTGTTAAATATTCCATTGAAGCCTGGTTTGTGCTGGTTCAGAGTGGAGCAGCCCCCCCGGGCTGTGATCTGAGCTGCAATGGAGACTTTATTTAAGACAGAGAAAACCCCACTTTTTTCATACTGTAATGTTTGAAAAGAGCAGGAAATGATCCCAAAAGGGGAGCAGGTGTGGACTTCCAGGGACATCAGCAGTGCCATCAGTGACATCTGGAGGACCTGAGCTGGGCAGAGTCACTGGTGAACAGGCCACAGATCCTTATCACTGCTGATAAGGCAGAGAGGCTGATTTTGAGAGGAAATTGAAAGGGAAATATCAGCTTTTCCTTTGCAAGCAGCACAAGCATGAGAAAGATCAGTCCAAGGTCAAAGCACCATTTTTTGCTCACTAATTTTTTTTATAAATCAAATTATTTCTTCCTTCACTCAGCAATCAGACACCCTCAGAAACCAGACTCACAGTTTGGAAGCCATTAACATTTTTATTTTAATTGAAACTCATCTTCCAAGTGACATAAAAGCAGAGAAAAATGCACCCACTCAGGTATGAAACGGCAGAGCTGGATATTCTGGGTTGTGTCAATCACCACAAGCAGACAGGGTGAGGGCTACAATTCCCAGGAAATTTTTTGCTGATCCCTGCTGGAGGAGCTGCAGGGCTGGGTTATCCCAGAGAAAATTCCTTCCCTATTCATCCCTGTCATAGTTTGACATGGGATTTCCATGTTCCATGGAACATTTCCATTTCCATGGAACATTTCCATTTTCCATTTTGGCCAGAGGGACTGATAAGAGACTGAGCGAGCCGAGCTACAGCCCACAAAGGGGACTTTGTGAGTTTGTCGTCTCTTTTGGAGTGGCAAGTTGTTTTACTGTTTAATATTGTTAATTTTTTTTGTGCTGATGAATGCTTTGCCTATTAAATAAATAGTTTTTTCCACTTTTCTCCAAGGAAATCTTTTTCCTGAACCAGTTAGAGGAGGAACCACTTGAATTTGTTTTTCTAGAAGAAACCCCTTCAGAAGTTTTTCTCCCAAAGTTGCCCTAAACTAGGACAATCCTTTAATTCCACTTCCTAAAGATCTCCCTGCTGAGCCAGATGAGAACCACCATTCTTGTGGCACAGAGCAAAGCTGGCAGGGCTCAGACCAGCCCTGAACCACAGCAGCCAAATCCCAGATTCCAGGGATGGCAACCAGAGCCAGAGTCGGGAACTTGCGGTACCAGAGTTGGGAAATTGGGGTGCCAGGGTCGGGAAACAGAACTGCCAGAGTCAGGAAATTGGGGTGCCAGAGTCAGGAAGTTGGGGTGGCAGAGTCAGGAAATTGGGGTGGCAGGTTCAGGAATTTGGGGTGCCAGAGTCAGGAAATGGAGGTGCCAGAGTCGGGAATGGAGATGCCAGGGTCAGGAAGTTGGGGTGGCAGAGTCAGGAAATTGGGGTGCCAGAGCAGGATAAGACTCCAGCAGTTCCCTGGCAGGATGTGGCTGGAAAAGGCTGGGAACTGCTCTGGGTGAGGACTGGGGCTGTGCCAGGGGGAGGCACAGCAGCACCCAGTGTCAGCTCTCCCCCAGGCTGGGCTCAGATGGTCACGTAGGGAGGGGGGCAATCCTTGGAAGGCAATTCCAGGGCTTCCTCGTAGGACGGCAGCACGGCCTGGAAGAGATCAAAGGTTATGGAATCACAGGGATTTCATCCTGGAGGGCTGGGACAAAGAGTTAGAAATTTAACTTAAAAGTAGAAACTAATTTTAGATTTAGCTGAAGAGTGCTGTTTTAACTTGTTTAGTCTATAGCTTGCTAAACTTATTTAATCTACTAACTTACTGAGCTCAGAAAAAACTTAAAAAAATTTAGTTACTTAAAAGGATACAAGTTTCTAAACTAAAGAGAGATAAGGAGGGGTTCCACCAACCATAAAAAGAAAACTAAAACTAAATTGCAGACACAGCGACGTTAAAAGGACATTACTAGAGAGCTGCACAGGTTCATAAAAACTGATGAGACAGTTTTAATATGAAACGGGGCTAAGAAATAAATATGCATGAACCTATCATGAAACTTTATGCATATGCAACAGGTTAGGAGATAAAATAGACTCAGGAATTCTCAGAGGTACACATGTGCTTTGAGGGAGCTATCCCACGTGTGTCCAACACTGAAATAAATCAGACCAACTTTACAACTTTTACAAGTTGTAGAGTTGTTTTTTTCCACAAATCAGGGTTCCTCTGCCTGCTTCCAAGCAGGGACAAAGAACTGCTTGGGTTTTAGGGCACAAAGGGCAGAAGTCCAGCAGGGTTTGGATCCACCTCGTGCCAGCGCTGCCCCCATTCCCTGGATAATAAACGACCCAAGGCTCCTGAACGTGTGGAATCCCAGCCTCATTCCCAAGGAAAGCTGAGGAATGTTGCAGAGGAGCACGGCTGGGGCAGCACTGCTGGCAAGGGAGGGCCCAGCAGATTGGCCGAGATAAAAGCCAAACCACAACATTCCACATCCCTCAGCATTCCCTGTCCCCCAGCATTCCCTACCCTCAGCATTCCACGTTCCCCAGCATTCCATCCCCCCAGCATTCCCTATCCTTCAGCATTCCACATCCCTCAGCATTCCCTGTCCCCCAGCATTCCCTACCCTCAGCATTCCCCGTTCCCCAGCATTCCATCCCCCCCGCATTCCCTATCCTTCAGCATTCCACATCCCTCAGCATTCCCTGTCCCCCAGCATTCCCTACCCTCAGCATTCCCTGTCCCCCATCATGCCCTATCCCCCAGCATTCTATCCCCCCAGCATTCTTAAAAGGACATTACTAGAGAGCTGCACAGGTTCATAAAAACTGATGAGACAGTTTTAATATGAAACGGGGCTAAGAAATAAATATGCATGAACCTATCATGAAACTTTATGCATATGCAACAGGTTAGGGATAAAATAGACTCAGGAATTCTCAGAGGTACACATGTCCTTTGAGGGAGCTATCCCATGTGTGTCCAACACTAAAATAAATCAGACCAACTTTACAACTTTTACAAGTTGTGGAGTTGTTTTTTTCCACAAATCAGGGTTCCTCTGCCTGCTTCCAAGCAGGGACAAAGAACTGCTTGGGTTTTAGGGCACAAAGGGCAGAAGTCCAGCAGGGTTTGGATCCACCTCGTGCCAGCGCTGCCCCCATTCCCTGGATAATAAACGACCCAAGGCTCCTGAACGTGTGGAATCCCAGCCTCATTCCCAAGGAAAGCTGAGGAATGTTGCAGAGGAGCACGGCTGGGGCAGCACTGCTGGCAAGGGAGGGCCCAGCAGATTGGCCGAGATAAAAGCCAAACCACAACATTCCACATCCCTCAGCATTCCCTGTCCCCCAGCATTCCCTACCCTCAGCATTCCACGTTCCCCAGCATTCCATCCTCCCAGCATTCCCTATCCTTCAACATTCCACATCCCTCAGCATTCCCTGTCCCCCAGCATTCCCTACCCTCAGCATTCCCTGTCCCCCATCATGCCCTATCCCGCAGCATTCTATCCCCCCAGCATTCCCTGTCCTCAGCATTCCACATCCCTCAGCATTCCATACTCCCAGCATTCCCTATCCTTCAGCATTCCACATCCCCCTGCATTCCACATCCCCTCACCATTCCATCCCCTCAGCGTTCCCTATCCCTCAGCATTCCCTCTCCCCCATCCTTCCATCCCCTCAGAATTCCATGTCCCTCCCTCTTTTCTTCCCACCCATCCCTACAACACTGAAAATCCCAAACTCTCAGACAGAAAAGTGAAGAAAAAGCTGATTTTAAACACTTTTAGCTATGGAAACCAAAGTCCAGCTGGAATTGTCCCACATTCCTGTATCACGGATCACAGGGAATCCATTCCCATTTATCTGCCATGCCTGATTTTCACCTGCCTTGCACATTGACTTTAAAGATTTTACGCAGAAAATAAAGAAGTAAAATTGAATGGATATCTTGTAATTAAAAACTGATTTTTAACACTTGCTACTGGGGATTTGAAGGGTTGTAAATTCACTCAGATCCCAGAAAAGCAGATATAAGGATCACCAGTCTAAAGGATTCCTGTTCATGGAATGAATTTACTTTTCCTCACCTCTCCCACTGCTTTTGAGTCCATTTTCAGGAATAAATTTACTTTTACACCCCTTTTCCACTTCTTGTGGAAGTGGTGGTGCAATTCCTGGGGGATTTTTGGCTGATCCCTTTGCTGTAGGAATTCTGCTGGCGGAGCTGCAGGGCTGGGTTTTCCCAGAGAAAATTCACTTTTCCACTGCCTATGGCTCCACTTCCAGGAACAAATTAATTTTTCCTCACCTTTTCCACTGCGTGTGGCTCCACTTTCACCTCCTCCCTCCTGCTGGCTTTGATGAACTTAAAGCAGCTCAGGACACATTTGAACATGTAGGCCTGGAAAAGAGGGAAAGGGAAGGAAAAGGACATTTTCCCATGGCACTGCAGGGCAAAAAGGGCATTTCCCCTTTCACCACCAGCCTGGGATTTTCCTGCTCTTTTCTCGAGAGGGAGAAGTTTGGGACCACAACCCCAGGGCCTTAAATCAGTGTCTCCATCCTTCCCTGGGAATGTGATGATTCCATGAATTCAGAACAGCACTGGGGTGGGACTGGGATCAATAATTCAGTAAATATGACGTGATTAAACACAAACCCCATTAAACACAGCACTGAGAGCTCTGAGAGCACAATATCCTGACTAGGAAAGGAAAGCGTGGCCTTGATGTCATTTTCCAGAGCAGGTCTGGAATCCATGAATTCAGAACAATAAAATTAATATAAAGGATTAATTAATATAAATATAAATTTATAAAAATATAAATTGATTAAAGTTATTAATTCCATGAATTCAGAACAATGTTGGGATGGGACTGGGATCAATAATCCAGTAAATAAAAAGTGATTAAACATAAAATCCATTAAAACACAACATTGAGACTTCTGAGATCACAATGTCCCAAGGTAGGAAAGGAAATTATGGCCTTGATGTGATTTTTCAGAGCAAGTTATGAAGTCTGGATTCCATGAATTCAAAACACTGAGGTGGGACTGGAAATCCAATAAATATAAAATGATTAAACATAAAATAATCCCATTCTAACCTGGGATGGTACTGGGACCAACAATCCAGTAAATAAAAAGTGATTAAACATAAAGTCCATTAAAAGATAACATTGAGACGTCTGAGATCACAATATCCCAAGGTAGGAAAGGAAATAGTGGCCTTGATGTGATTTTTTGGAGCAGGTTACAAAGCTTGGATGCCTCAGGAAAGCACCAGAGGCACCACAGAGATCCAAGGACTGCCCCAAAAATCCCTTCATTCAGCAAAATCCCATTTTTGCACTTCCCTGACAGGACCTCCTGGTACCCCACAGATTTATCCATGCAATAAATGGATATTTATCCATGCAATAAATGGATACTTATCCATTTTCTGAGGAAAAAGGGCTGATTGAGGGGCTGTGGCCCAGGGAAATAAGCGGGGTCTGTGGGGCTGGCCCTGTTAAATCAATATTTTCCCTGCTCGAGTCGTGTGCCTTGTGTTTGTGTTGGCCTGGGAATGTGCTGGGAGCAGTTGGGATTTTCAGGGAACACAGGGAGCCACAGATCCCAAACTCAGGCTGTGCAGCTGAGCATGCCCAGGACAATGAGAGCTGTTTGTGCTGGCACCAAGCCAAGAGAAAGAGAAAAAAATGAATGAAATATATGAGGTGAAAAAAAACAATCTCAACATTTCAGAGATTGGAGGTAAATCCAAACTTTGAGCATCTTTTGGGAGTGTTGCAAAACCCTTCCTGCTTTCAAAGCCTCTTCATCCAGAAAGCAAACCTGGAGCTATCATAGGAACTGGGTAGAAACCTCCACTCATCCATGGGGAAAAAACCCTAGAAATCTGAAATAGCTGAAAAATAAATCTAAAAAATAAATAAAAACTACACAGCTAAGGAATGCACTCCCTGATTTTGGTTTTGAAATAGAATCATACAACAAAGGAATGCATTCCTCAATTTTGTTTTCGACATAAATAAAAATCACTCAACAAAGGAATCCATTCCTTGATTTTTGGTTTTGAAATAAATCAAAATCACAAGGAATGTTTTATTCCCTTTAATTTCTGCTTTCTTATCCCTGTGGTGCTGGAGGCCTTTATCATTCCAAAGGGAAATAAAGGTTATTGGAATATTTGCCCACGTGCCATCCCTGGAAGTGTCCAAGCCAGGCTGGAGCACCTGGGACAGTGGAAGTGAGATGAACCTAAAGGTGTCTCCAGCCCACCTCACCCCATGGATTTAGGATCATTTATGGATGCAGAATAGAATTCCCCTAATGGTGCAATGGCAGCATCACCCTGTCCTTGGAATATTTTTTTCCAAGGAATTTGGCAGAACTGATCCTGTTCCCACTGGAGCCCCACAGCCCCAGCCCCACCCTGCCCTTGGAAGATTTTTTCCATGGAATTTGGAACTTACTCTGCCACCACAGGTAATGCAGAGCCAGTCCCATGATACTGTGAGCTGGGAGGCTGCAGGGAGAGAATTCCATGGGATTTCACCCATGGAAGAGGAGAGGGATTGGCACTGGGATTAAAGGATGGGGGTCCTGATGGCTTTTTGGGGTTTTATTATCCCACCCCATCCCTTCTCTTACAGCCCCAGCACAAAAACCCATTGAAATTCCAGCACTTTGTGGGTAAAGCTGTGGAAAATTCCAATTAATCCATGTGCCAGGTCAGGGAGATTCCTGCCAGCTGGGGCTCGAGGTTATCTTCACTCCAGCTGCACACTCCATGCAAATATTAAAAGACATTTTAAAGCCATGCTTTAAATGCATCCACACAAAACTCTCCACTCCCCACTGGCTTATCTGGCCCACCTGGAGGGCTCAGAGTATAAAATGGTTTCCAGCTCACAAGCAGCACTTTCTGTTCAAGCACCTGCAAAATTCTGGTTTTCTTCATGGGGCTGAAGGTGGAAAATCAGTTCTCTGAGCCACTGAAGCAATAAAAGAATAAAACCCCTCTCTATTGGAGCTTCCTGAGGCACCAGCAGGGTTTAGCTCCTGGTTTTAATGAACTTTGGGAGTATCAGGGTGCAGAACCCTGCTCCCATCAGAGAGGACACAGCCACTCACCTAATGAAAGATCTCACCTGCTGCTCAATAATCTCATTTATTTGGCACTTTACAGCACAGCACTTTGCTGTGTTTTTTCAACCTTTTTCTCTTTCTAGACAGGAATGGACAGTGATGATTTGTGGGTTTAAGAGGGATTTTTCTTGGTAACTCACACAGAGGAGTAAAGGCAGGGATTTGGATAAACCATACAGAGGCACAGCTCCCACTGTGCCCGAGTGTCAGATTAAGCTTTTTTCTGACCCAGAGATGGGGTAACTGAGAGGAATTTTAAAACCTTTTATTCCATTTTCAGTCTCATGTGAAGGGTGAGACAATACAGATGTTATAATTCACACCATCACAATCAGAAGCCAACTATTTCCTAATTAATAAATATATTATAAGCGTTTCTTGGCTTATCAGCTTTAGCCACACCATATTGTAAATGTCTTAAAGCCAATAATATAAAATTACCCCTCATGGGTCTCCCACTACAATGCATCTTTCATAGCTCTATTTCTCCAAAGTATCCAGTCTTATTTGCAAGGCCATCCTTTAAAACTTGTTTCTAGCTCCATTTCTCTCTCAACAATGTCTGTCCTATTCCATGGCATTTCTAAGTCAGCATTTCTTATCTCAAAGTTTCCCACACCCAAGGAGAGCCCAACAAGGCAGATTTGGGATTTGGCAGATTTCCTGGGCAAGCCTCACTTCAGAGCCTTTTACCTTGAGGACGAGCACAGCCACAAAGGCGATGGTGAAGGTGATCATCACTTTGGCGTATTCCTCTGCTGGCAGCTTCTCCAGGGCTGGCAAAGAGCCCTGGGGAAAAGGAAGAAGGTTTCAGCCCAAAACACTCAGGTCTCAGCCCAAAACACTCATTCCCTCTGCCAGGGGCACCCGACAGGGAGGGGTTCAAGGTTCAGGCAGAGCAAGGAATAAGGGATTTTCACTGGCAGCAGGATCACAGGGATATTGTTTTCCTCCTGCTGTTTCCTTCCATCTGTTCACAACAACATTGGGGTGGGACTTATTAAATAAGACTGTTTAATAAAGATGAAATTTGAGGCATTTTCCATGCAGGCAGCTCCCCCTGAATCACTTTGCTCTGCAATTTGCATCCATCAGATTCCTACAAGGAGAAACAGGGTCTATATTTAAGGAACATGGGAGCTGTCAGTCAGGAGCAGCACTGGGGAGAGCACAGAAAACCCTCTTTGTTGTCAAACTGAGCAGTTCTGGATGCTCCAGAGAAGCTGCACAGCCATGGAATGGGAATTTATAGTAGTTCTCATGTGGGAAATGAGCAGAGCTGGCTCCAGACTTACCCCACTGTCCACAGGCTTGAGGCTGAGGTAGGTGGGCACCTCCATGTAGGAGCTGCACAGGGTGAGGATGCTCAGGCAGAAATCCAGCAGCTGCAGCGCCAGCAGGGGAGTCCTGGAGTGGCCCTGCTGAGGGGACAGGAATTGGGTTACAATCACAGGATTGGGTCACTTCTGCAGATTATTCACACTTACACAGCCTGTGGCTGGTTCACACGGAGTCTAAGCCACTAAATTCCCTTTCATTCAACCCAAACCTTCCCTTCTGCTGGCCCAAAGAGTGAGCAAACTGTTTGAGGGGCTTCATCTGAGCGCCACAGAAGCCTCTGGCCAAAGCAGTGACAATCTCAGTTTATCTCCAGTGATGCCTCGGGAAGGCTGACCTAGAACAGAAACTAGACAGCGCTAAAGAATAAAGTAGGGATTTATTAAGAGGTCTGAATAGATCCACTTTGGGCAGCACAACCCAAAATGGCCACAAAAATGGATCGTTTTGTCTCCCTGCCCTGTGCAGAGAGCTCACCATCCCCTAATGAGAAGCCCAGACCCACACATTAAAGCAGCACAGAATCTGAAAAATAGAAAAGCTAAACCTGAGGCATCACTAGAAAACCCCTCCTGTTGGGGGCACACCCAGAGCGACCTCCTTCAAAGCCAGGAGAAAATCAACATTTCAAGACAGGGGAAGATAAATATCCCAGGTGCCACTGGTTTCCTTCAGCCTCCAAGGATTGCATCCTGTCTAGCCAGGAGAAAGCACCTCACATCTGGATTCAGGATCCTAAAAGTCTTTTCCAAACTAAAGGATTCCATGACAAAACACAGCTCAAGATAACGATCCTTTATTCCAACCTTCCAGGATCCTAAAGATCTTTTCCATCCTAAATGATTTAATGAAGAATTGCAGCCCAAGATAATGATCCTTTATTCCAACCTAAAGGATTCCATAAAGAACCACAGCCCCAGGTAACCATCCTTTACTCCAACCTAAAGGATTCTATGAAGAACCATAGCTCAGGGTAACCATCCTTTATTTCAACTGTCCAGAGCCCTAAATGCATTTTCCATCCTAAAGGATTCCATGACAAGCCATAGCCCAAGGTAATGATCCTTTATTCAACCTTCCAGGACCCTTTTTCACCCTAAATTATTCCATGAAGAACCAGAGCCCAAGATAGTAATCCTTTATTTCAACCTTCCAGGACCCTAAAGGTCTTTTCCAACCTAAAGGATTCCATGACAAACCACAGCCTGGAGTAAAGATCCTTCATTCAAACCTAAATGATTCCATGAAGAACCACACCCCAAGGGAAGGATCCTCCATTCCATGTATTCCCCACCTCGGGAAAGCCAGAAGCCCCCAGGAGGTGAGGAATCTTTGCTTCTTTTCTGCCAAGGTCAGGGTTAAATTGTGCGATGGTATTTCTCAGATGTTTACCAGCTCTTATATCTGTCACAGTCCCACAAACCCTGAGTTCTGCAGCACTTCACTCTAACACACTAAAAACAGAGCCCCATCTCTCTCTACAAGGCCTTTTAAGGATGAACTGTCCAATTAAGAAATGACACCTAAATTATTCTTACTTTTAACCCAATAACCTGTGCCTGCAATGCGGAGTTTTTATCCAATTACACAAAACCACCCAAACCCATGGAAAAGAAGGTGGAGAAGGAGAAGGAGAAGGAGCAGCCTCCACCCCAAAACCTCCATCTTGCTTTATATATATTACTATATTCTAAAACCCCAAACTCTGAGTTTCCCACCCTGTGACATCACACACTTCTATTCCAACCCCATACCCACAATCCCAGTTCTACCATTCCATTTTGGAAGCTTCTCCACGGCCTCAGGTCAGTGCAGTGTTCTCCTGGGGGTCAGTGCCTGGCAGCACAGAAAGTCTCAAATTCTCAGTGACCAGGGCTCCAATGAGGAGGAGCTGTCACCACCCAGAAGCCCCCGGGAGGAGGAGCTGTCACCCACCGTGTGGCTCAGGGAGGACACGGAGATGACCGCTGGCACCTGGATGTAGGAGCTGAACATGGTCAGGAGGCTGAGGAGGAAATCGATGACTTGCAGAGCCAGGAAGGGGATCAGGAGCCGCTCCCTCTTCTGAGGAGGAAAAGCAGTGCTGGTTATTTATTAGATAACCATGATATACAATGGTTATTTCCATTCCAAGTGGGAAATGAGACCAGCTGGCAACACCTGGAAGGACTTAGATGGTGCTCCAAGAATTAACACTTCCCTGGAATTTCTGATTTCAGTGACAACTGATACAAAAAAAAATCATCAAAGCTGATTTTTTTCACCTCTTTGGAAAATTCCTGTGAATTCTCACTCTGTGACACTGGCACTTCCCATGAGAGCTGTCATCCTGCTGTCCCTGAAATTCACCTCTGCAGAGGGAGAACTGTGTTCAGATTCCTGGGGTTTCCAGCCCCAGGCCTGGTCATTCCTCCTCCTGCACTGGGAAATGGGTCCCCACAGCAGCAGGGCAGTGACAGTTCTCTCACAGTGACAGTTCTCTCTGACTTGCAACAGGGCAAGGAAACGAGGCAAGAAAACCTTTCTAAATCATAAAATCTCCTTCATTTAACACCAGATGCAGCCCCGATGGAAATGCTGCCCGGATTTGGTAAATTTGGGTGTTTAAAGCTTTTCACGGGAACCTGAGGCTTCAAACAAGTCCCTCTCCCCCTCTGGAACCAGGAGACATTTTTACCTGCCTTTTTTCCTGTATGATTCTGTGATTCTGTGATTTTTATCTGCCCTTTTTTCCTGTGTGATTCTGTGATTCTGGGATTTCTATCTGCCTTTTTGCCTGTGTGATTCTGTGATTCTGGGATTTCTATCTGCCTTTTGTCCCTGTGTGATTCTGGGAGGTTTTCCTGCTTTTTTTGACCACAATTCCAGTGATCACCATCCAAACCCTGAGTGTCATTTGTGGGGAACGTACCTTGAGCACCCCGAGCAGGAGGTGGAAGCTGATGACAAACAGCATAAGGATCAGCAGGAAACTGGTGGTGATATCAGCTGAAAAGGATAAAAATGATAAAAGGAATTACCAGATCACCAAAAGATGTCCCAACTCCACCCCACCCATAAGGGAGGGTTCAACCTGTCACAAAGATTTGTGTCTGTGCGGGAATTATTGCCATGCAGCTGGAATTAACCTTCTTTTCCCTTTTTACACCCATTTTTATCTCTCTTTGAAGTTCCCATATCCACCAGGCACTGTGGGTTGTGAGCTCAGGGGATCCAAGGCCTGAAAATGTTAAATACCCCAGGCTACAAGATGAAGAATTAAAAAAGCCAGAGTGCTTTTGGCTCATAGCTCTGAGCTGGAAATTATTTAGAGGCTGAAAGGCAGATAAAGGAGCCAGCAGTGAAGTGATGAAGGATCTTCAGAATCTCCCAGAGAAGAGTAGGAATTTTCACCCCAGGGAGGGTGGGGAATATCTCCCCCCAACTCTGCATCTGTGGGATGCAAGAGACGCCTCAAAATGCTGTGTGAGGGGGTTTAGGGTGATTTTTGGCAGCTGCTTTGGGTGCAGGGGGTAATGTTTTATATTCACAGAGTTCCTGCTCAACCTTTGCCTGGAAGCAATTTTCCCTCCTGGAATCACAGCCTGCCCTGGTGCTGATTCACCTCTCCAGAGGCAAAACTCTGGTTTTTTTTGTTTTTTTGTTTTTTTTTTTAATTTGTCTCTGTACAACCTTTCCCAGAGCTTCCTCCAACTCCTTTCCTTCTGTTTCACCTGAGTTTAAATCAGCACTGGCCAGTTTGGGTTCTTCAATTCCTAAGTGCTTCAAGAAAGAGTTTAATTCTGCTAGAAAAGAGCCAAATTTTTAATTTTTCTGTATTTTTTTTTTTTTTAAAGCAGATGATCCTTCCCGTAGGTGCACAGGACTGATGGCCCTTGGGGGTCCCTTCCAGCTGAGGATATTCCACACAACCATGAATAAATCCAGTGTCTAACTCTGTTTTATCCAATACCCCCCCACTGTTTTCATAAAGAACTCTGGGAATTGTGCCTGTAGAATCCCTGTCACATTCAGGCTGCTCTGAAATCCTTAACTGCTCCATATCACCTTTTTTCCCCAGGAAAATTCACCTCCATCTCCCCCAGCTCTGAGTGTTCACCTGGAGTTTTGGTGCCCCTTTCGTGAGGGAAGATTTCAGTGCTTGGGCAGACCCCGACTCATCCTTTATTCCCTTTCTAGAAGTAGATATTCTTTATTCCAGTAAATATTTCTTAATTAAATATATTTCTTTTTGTTTGGTTGTTTTTTGTGGCTTTTTTGGAGGGCTTTTTTTTGGGGGGGTGGTTTTTTGGGTTTTTTTTTCCCTTTGTTTTGGTTTGGTTTTGGGGTTTTTTTGTTGCCAAGAGGATGAAATCATTCCTAAAGACATCAAGGCAGAGAAACTTGTCCCTGTTTTTCAGGCGGGTGACCCCAGCAATGACAACTTTATCAGAATTTGGACATTTGCTGTGTTTAGGGGGAAACACAAAGATTCTCCCCAGGGTAAAGGGACAGAAATCTACCCCCAGCTCCAGAAAGGACTAAAAATATCACTGAGAAGCTCTGGAACAATTCCAGGTTTGTTGAAAACCTTCCTGAGCCACATCTGGGCAGGTGGCAGCAGCAGTGCCACCCCTCCCATCCTCCCTATGCTGAGAGAGTTCATTTAAATGCAATTTAAATTCACTTCAATTGATACAAAAGGGATTTTCAATTCCCCTGCTATCTTCTCTTTAAATCTCCTTCAGAAATGGGCTTTGCTGATGGGAAACTTTCAGTGTGCAAAGAAGCCCTGCCCAGCACTTCCTCCCCCCAGCACGAGGAGCCTCTTCCTTCCTCAGGCTTGGGGGAAAAACCCTCTGGGGAGACTGTAACCCCCCAGGAACCAAAAAAGCTGATCTTGAGGGGGACTGGAGCCATCTGGAGGGGTGGGATACAGGGAATGATCCAAATTATCCACTCACCCTGCACCAGGAAAGGAGGGCTGTAATGGTGCAAAGCAAGGAAAAGGATTTTCCTCATAACCTGATAAAACCCCAGTGAATTCAGAACAGCACTGAGGTGGGACTGGGATCAATAATTCAGTAAATATGACGTGATTAAACACAAACCCCATTAAACACAGCACTGAGAGCTCTGAGAGCACAATATCCTGACTAGGGAAGGAAATCATGGCCTTGATGTCATTTTCTAGAGCAGGTTATAAAATCTGGATTCCATGAATTCAGAGTAATGCTGGGATGGAACTGGGATCAGTAATCCAGAAAATATAAAATGATTAAACATAAAATCCATTAAAACACAACACTGAGACCTCTGAGATCACAATATCCCCAGGTAGGAAAGGAAATCATGGCTTTGATGACTGCTTTTTTATGGCTGCTGCTCCCCAGGCCGTGGGAACTGAGACCCATAGGAGGCAGAAATCTCCTTAAACAACAAAGAGAGAACCCCAAACCCAGCAAACCCCGAGGGAAAGGGGGAAAGGGCTTTGCCTCCTGAAGAAAATCAGGAACACAAAGGGCATCTCCCTCCAAAGGCAGCCGATGCTTCTTTCCTTCTGCTCCCATGGGTGTGGGAAAGAGAATTCCAATTGGAATTCCAAGGCAGAACAACAACCCCAGCTTTGAGGAGCAGGGGAGTAGAACCACAGCTGGGATGTGGGACACAAAGAGCCAAAGATTAACAGGGAACAGCCTAAACCCAAAACAGATCTTTAAAAAGCCAGACTCAGCCTTTGTGGGACAGCCCTGAAGGAGCCAATCCCAATCCCATTAAAAGCCAGACTCCCAAAGCCTTTTCCCTAAAGGAACCAATCCCAACCCCATCAAAGCCCAATCTCCCAAGGCCTTTTGCCCTGGGTTTTGCTCAGCACCAGCACTCGGGAGTTTGCCCTGAGAGAATTTCTCTCCTTATCCCAGGATTTTCTGGGGTCCAGCACAGCCACATTTTCCTGACTCTCTCTCTCCATGGGCTCCTGCTCCAGCTCTCTGGCAGGATCCCTAATTAATTGGGAAGTGGCCATTGCCAGCTAATTGCTGAGCTGGATTTTCCAAGCAGAACCTGGATCAACCCCCCCCAGACAAAACGCCCACAACCCCACAAACACAACGGGATGGAAACAAAAGGAAAACCAAGGGGAAACAACTTTCCACGAGCTGGCTGCCTCCTATTTATTCCCAGGAAACAGAGTCATTCTCCCTGCTGGCAGCAGGGATGGGTTGATACCATGGATGAAACACCAGAAATTGCAACCAGAACAAGAAATTTCCAACCCCTTCCAAACAAACAAGACAAAATCCCCCAAACAAACAAAAAGCCAAACAAAAAACCCACAAAAAAAACACCAAACAAGTAAGAGCTCAAACCAACAAAAAAAAAAAAAAAAAAAACCAAATCACAAAACCAAAAAATCCAGACAAAAATCCCAAACAAACATAAGCCCAAACCAACAAACAAAAAAGCCCCAAACAACAAAACAAAAATTCCAAGGCAACAAAAACCCCAACAAACAAAAAACCCAAATACACAAACAAACAAAATCCCCAAATAAAAAAAAACCAATCAACCAAAACCAAAAAAACCAACCAAACAAACTCCCAAACTCACAAACATAAACAAAACAACAACAAGAACAACAACAACAAAACACAAAAAAACCAAAACACAAAAAAAAAAAAACCAAAAAAAAAAAAAAACAAACCCTTAAGACTTCAGAGGAGGTAATACTGACAAACGTGTTTGAAAAATTATTTGTAATATATGCAGCTAAGCCATAATTCTTCAAAAAAAAAAAAAAAAAAAAAAAAAAAAAAAAAAAAAAAAAAAAAAAAAAAAAAAAAAAAAAAACACCAACCCAAACAATAAACCAACCCAAACAACCCCCACAAAACAGCAAAACAACCAAACACTGAAAGAGGAAGGAAACCCTTGAGGTCACACTTACATCAAGTTCTTCAATTCCCATCAAAAACTGGAAGTGGGAACATGTTTTACAGGAATGGATGGATGGATGGATGGTGGATGGATGATGGATGGATGGATGATGGATGGATGGATGGTGGATGGATGGATGGATGGATGGATGGATGATGGATGGATGGATGGATGGATGGATGGATGGATGATGGATGGATGGTGGATGGATGGATGGACGGATGGATGGATGGATGGTGGATGGATGGATGGACGGATGGATGGATGGATGATGGGTGGATGTTCCTGGTTTCCTTGTGCTGATCCCAGCCCTGGCTCTGGACCCTGCTGGGTCATTCCCTGCTGGGTCATTCCCTGGGAAAGCTCTGCAGGAAGGGGTTTCCACCCTGCACTGGGGGCTGAGCTGAGCAGAGCAGCCTCCAACCCATGCACAGGAATATTTGGGAATACTGGTCCATAGGAAACGTAGGAACCATTGCACTGCCCCTTGTTCGGGTTCCTATCAGCAGGACTCACCCAAATTCCCATTTTTTGCTTACTGCTGATGCCCTTCCCCTTGGAACCGTGTGATTAAAATCCCTTCCAATCTGGACATTCCATGATTCTGTAGGATCAACCAAACCTTTGAGTGCTGATGTCAAACAGCTCTGGGGGATCCCAGTGCTGCCTCTTTCCTTGGAAAAACCTGAAGCCAGCTTTTATAGCTTCACCAGGCACTGCTTATTCCTGGTTTGGTGCTTTTCCCTATTTCTGACTCCTGTCCTGTGGACAGGAGAGTTTGAAATGTGCAGGAACCTGTACTCAGCTTCCTTTTCCTCCACATACTGGGAACAGGTTTTCAGCCCAGGAACAGCCTCTCTGGAAAACCAGGGAACAGCAATTCCTGGCTGCCAGGGGTTGTGTTTTCTCTCCGTGGGGATGGACGGGGCAGGGAGGGGGCCTAGGTTTCTTGCTTTTGCTCCCAGGGTTCTCTCAACTTGTGGTTTTTCACGGAAAATGACTCAAGAAAGGAAAACCCCCCTGCACTTGTTTCCAAACAGCTCTGGCAGAATATCCTGGTTGGGCAATATTTGAGGGCTTTGGGTTTTTTAGATGGCACCTCATGAGACAGCTCAGGGTCTTTGCAAGGATCTGAGCTGCGTCCTTCTGGAATTGTGAGCTATGGGACAGCTTGGCTGCCTCTTCCAGCCACCAGTGTTCTGGAATAATACACCACCGGCTGGGAAAATCTGGGAATGGGGGTCACAGTGGGAGGGAGGGGTGGTGTGGCTCTGTCCAGCTGAGAGGCAGGAGATCCATGGCAATGGCTTCATGGCAATGGCTCCATGGCAATGGTCCCATGGCAATGGTTCCATGGCAATGGCTCCATGGCAATGGTCCCATGGCAATGGCTCCATGGGAATGGCTCAGTGGGAAAGACTCCATGGGAAAGGCTCCATGGGAAAGTCTCCATGGGAATGGTTCCACAGGAACGGCTCCATGGGAATGGCTCCATAGAAATGGCTCAGTGGGAGCAGCTCTGTGGGAATGGCTCCACGGCATGGAGGGGTGTCAGTGTGTTGGTGGCAGTGTCCCACAGCCCACACATCCATGGGATCAGTGTGGGGTGGGATTTGTCCCCTCTGTCCATTGAGCAGTTCTGGGACACTTCAGCATTTCCCTGGAAATGTCCAGAATGTGAAGAAAGTGTGTGTGAGGCTGGAATGATCCACAGCTGGGGAAAAGGGAGAGGAAGGAAAACCAGTATTGCCAGGGGAATTGACAGGAGATTCCAGAGGGAGCTGAAGGACTCTGCAGGTGCTGCAGAGTTTGGGCTGATCCTTTGAAATACAAACTTCTCTGGACTCCACATTGATCTCCAACACAGCCTTTGCCTAAATCAAAACCCAAACAGAGCCTAAATTGCTTCCTGAGCTTTTGATCCAGAACTCCAAATTCTTTGATGGAAAAGGCAGAGGGAGCAATGAAAGACTGAGGGATCCCTCCCTGCCCCACAGCTGCTTCCTAGCATTCCCAGGACCTACCAATTCTGTAGTAATCCTTGTCCAGGTCTTTGCAGAAGCCCTTCCCATTGGCCACCTCCAGGGAATACTCGATCAGCAGCAGGACGCTCATGACCTGGAAAACAAAGCAAAAAACACAATTCAGGGGCCTAGGGCCAAATTCCCAGCTGTGAATTTATTTCCAGGGAACCTGGATGGATGAGTTGCCAAGTGAGCCAAACACAAAGGGTTTAAATCCCAGGAAATTCTGAGACAACAGTTATCAGTTTATTAATATATTTGATTTAACTGCCAGCAGAAGGAGGATGGAGAAATGACAAAAGCAGTGAGTTTTGTTTCAATGGTTTTTATCCAGGTTTTATGTTTTGAAATTGCTTTTTGCTCCAGAGTTTAGGAAAAAGCAATACCAGTATTCCAAACCATAAAAAGAAACACAAAAAAGATTAAAGATCTCCCTGTAAGTGCAGCTGTGCCACTCCACTGACAAAACCATCACTTTCCTTCTTTTATTATTTGAGGAAATTCTCCAAATGTTCTTTTTTCACATTGAACTTGAATGATTCTCCCCAAGTTTTCCAAGCGGACCATCAAACCCCAGCCTCCAGGGCTCATTCTGTCCAGAGTTTAATGAGTGGGAGATGGAGGGAGGTCCACAGCTGTGGGCTCAGTCCTGGCCCTGAACTTCTGCACTCAGCCAGGGATGTCTGAGCCCAGCTTAGGAGATCTTCATGGAATCAGGGAATCCCAGAAAGGATGGAACTTGCTGGGCTATTCCCTGCTGGATTATTTCCTGGGAAAGCTCTGAAGGAAGGGATCTGCACTCTGCACTGGGGGCTGAGCTGGGCAGAGCAGCCTCCAACCCATCCACGGGAATATTTGGGAATATTGCTCCATGGGAAACGTGGGAATCATTGCCCACATTGGAAGGGATTTGCTCATGCGTTGGAAGGCTCATCCCATCCCACCCCTGCCATGGGCAGGGACACCTTCTACTGTCCAAGGCTGCTCCTAGCCCCAATGTCCAACATGGTCCTGGACACTTCCAGGGATTCAGGGGTAGCCACAACTGCTCTATCCATCCCTCTGTGTGTCCCTGAGTGTCCCTGTGTGTCCCTGAGTGTCCCTGTGTGTCCCTGGCTGTCCCTGTGTGTCCCTGTGTGCAGAGGTCAGAGCAGGCCCAGGCTCTGCTCCAGGCCCAGCAATGGCGCCTGAGCCCAGGAGCTGCCCCTGCCCAGGAGGCAGAACTGCCCTGAGCAGAGCCCACAGAGGGGCTGGAGTCTCCTCCCTGGGACATTCCAGAGCCACATGGACACTCTGCTGCGCCCTGGGCTCTGGGATGGCACCAGTGACCCTGGGGTCCCTCCAGCTGCCCCTCTCCATGACCCCGAGCCCTCTGGCCCTGCAGTGATGCAGAAGCCAGGCCCTATCTGCCACCCACATCAGTACCAGCTCAGGCAGAGCTGCAACAATTTTTCCACCAGAGCTGCACCAACCTTTCACTTCAACCACAGCCTGAGCAGCACCGTGGGTGAGGAGGAAGTGGCACCGCTGCGGTCTGGGCTTGTGTTTGCAAACTGGGGCTGCTGGAACAGCACAGAGCCAGCTGCTGCATGGGATGGGGCTGGGCACAGGATGGGTCTGGGTGTTCAGAGGGATCCAGACACACTTTGGGCAGTGGGGATGCCCAGCCAGGGGAGCTGAGCTGCCCTTGCAAAGGAGCTATGGGAGGGAAGGCTCTGCCTTGCCCCAGAAAGGGGGAAGTGAGGCTGGGAGATGACAGGAGCTAAGCACAGCCTCTCTCTCTGCCTCTATGTCAGCTGCAAAAGATTTAGAAATAATTTCAAACCAAATTCATCAAATTTCTGAGCCCCCAGCTGCAGCTCCCAGAACTGTGGCACTCCCAGAGCAAGCACCCACCAAGCCACGCTGGGCTGTGAGGGGACTGGGAGCCCCTGTCTACCCTGTCACTCTGAATTTAAAATTCTGTCCAGAGTCTGAGTGAGAAGGAAGGATGTGTCAGGTTTTCCCTGGGCCTGTCTGATACCAGCTTGTTCAAGAGTCACTCTGCTGTCTTCCCTTTTTTTTCAATTAAGTAAATGAACTTTGCAATTTGCTCATGAGCTGGCAGGAAAAGGAGGAATATCCAGATCTCATTACACGAGGACACGACAAAGTTAACACGAGTTCAGCTTAATGGAACAGCATTGCAGCTCCCAGGGCAGCTCTGAACCCTGTCAAGGATGAAATTGCATCGATCCAAAGTGTCTTACAGCTGCTGGTGTCCCTTGGGAGGAGAGGGATCTCTTAATGAAGACACATGGAGATCACACCTGACTGCAAGGTGGCTGAGAGGTTTTGTGTTCAGGCTCCCAAACACGTTTTGCTTCCTTTATTTCTGCTGTTGGTCCAACCCCTCAATTGCCAGCTTGAGAAATACGGGCAGAAATTGCTTTTTCATGTTCCACTTAAAAGGAGGTTGAGCAAAATGAATGAGCTGGGCCCTAAATATCAGTTTTGTTCTGAAAGAGGAGTGGGTGAGAGCAGGGCAGCAAACCCCAAATTCCCCCATCCCATCCAGCAGATCCAGAGGCTGAAGCTGAGCAAGAGGAACCCTCTCTGATGTCTGCCAGAGAAAAACAAGCCCTGGTTTCCTTGCTGGTGAGGAAATGAGCCACACAACCCAGACCAAGCGCAGTCACACAAGATAAGGACATAATAGGAAACCCCAGCCCAGCCTGAGAGATTCAGGAGACTTTTAAGGCAAAAGCTGGTTTAAAATTTTCCATTTTGTGTAGAAAGAAAGAAGCACTGAGCTGCGAGCAGGTGGAGACCTCCAGGCCTTTCCCTTGGCATGCAGAGCCAGGCCAGCACAGGACACCTCTCCAGCAGCTGCCTTTGGCACGCTGGGATGTGGAGCCTTCCTTATTCCTGCAGGGAATGCACTTCCAAAGGATGAACCCTTTTGGGAGGAAGGCAGAGGAGGATGGATGTGGTGCCTGCCCTGCACTCCTTGCTCAGCTACTCCCACTGCAGATCCACCCCTCAGCTCCAGCAGAAACCAAAAACTTCTCATTTCACACAGAGAAATACCCAGTTCCTTTTCCCTTTGCAATGCCACAGCCGAAGAAATGCAGGTTTAAAATAGAGGATTTCACTTCCAGGTATTCCATTCCCACCCCCTCTCCAGCCCTTCCTCCCTGATCTACTAGAGCTGGAACTTTTGTTGCTGCTTGTCTGTAAAAGGAGCTTCACATTTCTTGGTGGAAGAAATTTGAATCCCCAGGAAATGAACGGCTGGAGCTGGGCCAGGGCAGCTCAGGCTGGAGATCAGGGCAAGGTTCTTCCCCCAGAGGGTGCTGGCACTGCCCAGGCTCCCCAGGGAATGGGCACGGCCCCGAGGCTGCCAGAGCTCCAGGAACCTTTGGCCAGCGCTGCAGGGATGCCAAGGGTGGGGCTGTTGGGGGGGTCTGGACAGGGGCAGGAGCTGGACTTGAGGATCCTTGTGAGTCCCTTCCAGCTCAGGACACACTGTGATTCTATGATATGCTGAAATAATGTAGGACTGAGATAAACCCAGTCATTAAATCAAGTGAGATAAATTAGGGTGTCTTGAAGATAGAATCTGACACACAGAGCCCCTGTTCCCCAGGCTCAATCCTGCTGCAGCTGCAGTGGGGTTAAACTGCTCTTAGAGGTCATTTTGTATTTTTTTTTTTAATATTTGCAGCTTGACTGATATCCAGGTGATTTATCTCGTGCACGTGGCCCTGGTGCGAGGCTGCTCCTCTGCTGCTTCACAGCAGGGGTTTCTGCAAGGGGAGCTTGAAGCCATGGGGAACAGGAGCCCCTGGGGACAGGGACAGTGTGCTCTGGGTGCTGGAGTGTTCTGGGGACACTAGCACAAAGAGCACCACCCAAAAACGCTGCCCTGTCAGAGCTTCTCCTTTTCTCTCTTGAATTTCCAAGCAGCTCTTGTGGCAGCTGGAGATGAAATGAGGAGTGCTTTGAGTTCTCATTTGGTTTCCCTTCACATTTCAGCTTCTCCTGCTGCCTCCTTGGTTGAGCTGCTCCAGGAGAAGCAGCTCAGGCTCTGTGGGACCCCTGGGTCAGCCCCACCCTGGTGAGAGCTCAGTGAATCCCCCTCTGAGCTCACCTGAGTTGTGTCCAGAGGTGAGGACAGGGCCTGGGAGGGTTCCAGAAGAGAATTTCTGCTCTGTCAGTTACAGAGATGCCAAAGAGAGGGGCTGGAGTGCAGCTGAGGCCAGACAAGGTGCAGACGCTGCTTCCCAAGGCTCCTCTGGCTCCAATCAAGGAGCAGCAGGAGAGGAATTCTGTTCTTGCACTGGAGCAGGTTTCCAGCCCTGACCTTAAATCTCTCTGTCAAACACCTTGAGGCCTGAGGAGCAGAACAAACTCCCCAGTGCTGTCTTTGAAAGGCACCTGCAGGTCACCTCGCCACAGCCAGCAGAGCTTTGCTGATCACTCACCCCCATCCTCTCCTCACTCCCCTCCTTCTTTCCTGTCTATTCCAGAATGCCCAGGATTTATTTCAGTTGTCTCTGAAGAGATCAGCAGTGAGGCAGAGCTGATTTATGGGTGGAAAACACCTTGCCACAGAGCCTGAGAGCTCTTTGGTGGCACAGCTGTCACCCAGCATGTCTGGGATTCATCCCTAGCACCTGCAGCAGGAATTTATCCTGATCCAAAGCCCCAGAACTGATGGAGCAAATCAACCAAGGCATAAATTCCCTTTTCCCTTTCCCTCCCCCTGCCCAGCTGCAGCTGCACCATCAGAAAGGGAGAGAAGAGGCAGAGGGAGAAGTGATGGGTATTGTGTGATATCTCTTAAAGAAAAGATCTATCCAAATATTACCCTGTTTTCCAAGGGCAAGAGGCATGGTAGAGCTCCTGCAGCTCTGGGGAAGAGGGGGGACCTTGGAATGTCCTTCCTGTGCCACTGATCTGATCTGCTGATCTGAGCTGCTGATCCATGGGATTTCTGCAGGCTGCAGGTCCCGGTCCCCAGCTCCCTCTCTGCAGTCCAAGGAGTGGTAAGAGCCCCATTATCACCCCAAGGGCCCAAAACCCTGACTGTGCACACCCAGAGCTGGGGGGGACCATGGAATATCCTTCCTGTGCCACAGCTGCTGATCCCATGGGATTTCTGCAGGCTGCAGGTCCCCAGCTCCCCATCTGCTGTCCAGGAACCTGTGAGAGCCCTGTTACCACCCCAAGGGCTCCCAAACCCTGACTGTGCACACCCAGGGCAGCACAGGGGTTATCTTAATAACCCAGCCATGCAAGAAACCACATCCTCAGGCGGTTGAAAGCACCTAAAGCTCCTCAGTGCCACCAGGAGTGTGGGAGAGAGGGGCCTCCAGGCTCTCCTGCTCTGCCATCCCTGCCCTGAACAGCTTCTAGACACGGCCATGATCCCAATGGAAACCAAAAGAGACCCAGAGGAGGCAGCTCTGCCCATCACCCTCTGCTCATCCAACTCCCAAATCCCTCCAGTGCCCCATTCCCACATTCCCACTGCCAGTGCTGCCCATTCCCACCCAGCAGGCTCTGGATATACTCAGGTAGGAGCTCCTGCACTGAGCAGAAAAACAGAAAGCAGAGCGAGTTTCCCTGAGCTCCAATTGGCAGAGCCAGGAAAAAATTGTTCAAAACCCCTCCCAGTGCAGCAAATTCCGCTTCTCCCTGTCCCCCCACCACCTTTTGTTCATCCCTCTTAACTCATTGGGTTTTCCTCTTGGGAACAGAGAACATTCCAGTGTCAGGGAACCCTGTGAACCACAACAATGCACCTCCTGGAGAGGTTCCACCTCTGTTTTCCTGTCTCCCTGTTCCCCTTCCAGAACTCACCATGTGGAAGATCCCCAGGGCCACTGTCGCTGTCTTGATGTTGAAGCAGCAGCATTTGGGGGGCTCAGGGGGGGTTTGGGGGGTCATTTTTGGGTCCCTCTGAGCTCTGCTGAGTTAATGAGGTCGGATTTGCAGCCGCCCCACAGAAAGCGAAGCGAGAGCAGCTCAGCTTCCTTCCTGCTCTCTGAATGTGTGAAGTCATCTACAAAGTCACATGAGGCCTTCGGGTTTCTCAATCACAAAGAAAGCAAAACTGGGGGGCTTTTGAGCACATCCAGCTGGGAAATCAGAGCCCCAGTGCTTTGTCCAGCACGGGGTGTCAGGAGTGGACCATCGGGAGCAGGACCGGGCTTTGTCCTACAAAAATCCTCAGGAACAAAACAGGGGCCAGGAATTTCACCTCAAACTCACCCTGCTGTTTTTGCAGCAAAGCATCCAAGTTCCTCCCTTTGGAGCTGGCGTTCCCTGCCAGCAAAGGCACTGTTCCCTGGAGCTGCTGCTGGAGCAGCCCTGGGCTCTGCAAGGAAGAAGAGGAGGATGGCAGAGGGTGTTGATGCCTTTTTGGGGCTACCTAAAAATACAGGCCAGACAGAATTAAGGGAATAAAAAGCAATTATATTTATTGAAGAGCCTTCAGGTACCTTTTGGGCAGACAAAGCCCCCAGAGGCTACACCCAAAATTGGACCAGGGGTCACGGGTTTTCACACTTTTATAAGTTTGTTCCATTTGCATATTGGGGGTTGCTCTTCCAATTACAGCTTCAACTATTGAATTCATTTACCCCAAGTTTGCTGCCCCCAAGTCTGCTTTTGTTTCCATCTCTCAGTGCCTGAGGCAGTGAGGTGTCCTTGATTGCCAGGCCTGGAGAAGAATTGTTGTGTCTGGCCAAAATGGGAAAGCAGCAGGTCACACTGTGTGTGGAGTTTGGAGTTATGCACTGAAGAATTGCAGGATTACAAACACATGAAAATATAAAAGCTGAAATCCTAAGGCATCAGTGCTGGCTGAGGGATCTGCAGGTCTGGTCCCAGCTCCTGGGGATGTGATCTGTGTCCTCATCTCCTGGAAATAAAACCAGTGAGATCTGAGTGTGGTGGCTTTGTCACTGTGCAGGACATCAGAGTGTCCCCCTGCCTGAACTAACCATGTGCTCTTTCATAGAGACTTTTTTACCATTCTCATAAAAAAAACCCATTTTTAATTCTCTTTTCCTCTTCCCCCATCCCATGGGACAGAAATTCCCTGTTTATACCCCTATGGAGCAGATTGTTCCGAGTTTTGGTCTTTCTGACAAAGGTTTGATGTGTCCCAGCAGGGACAGCTCTCCAGGAGGGAAATGCAGGTAAATAAAATGAGAATTGGGAAAACATTCAAATGAGCTCTTGTGAGTGTCACATCCCAAAAACGCTCCCTGGATTTGCTGTGTGATGCCTCCAGAAGCCTTCCCAGCACAGCATCCCCACAGTGATGCAGCAGAGGGGCTTCTTGGTTGTTTTTATGGAATTAAATGCAGAGATTCCACCTGGGTGCTTCATAAATACAATCCAGCTGCAAATATTATTGGTGGATCCCTGGTAGAGCAGGAAGGTGAAATCTCTTCACCAGCAGGGAAAGCACAAAGCTGCAGGTGAGGACTGTGGGCACCACATCCACCAGCACCCCTGGAGCTACATTCACCCATGAGAAATAGGCTTAAAAATCAGGTTTATTTTTACAAATGGATCATTTTGGGCATCTCTCCTTTACAAACCAGATGCAAACATGGGCTTGGCTTTGCCTTCCCCACATGAAATGTGTTTTCTTTAGGGGCTGCCTCCACTCATGATAAATAGGGTTAAAAATAAGGTTTATTTTTAAAAATAGATAATTTTGAGCATCTTTCCTTTACAACAGGCTTGGCTTTGCCTTCCCCATATGAAATGTGTTTTCTTTAGGGGCTGCCTCCACTCCAAGTCAGTTTGTGGAAGGAGGTGCAGGAGGATGAAGGATTTCCTGCAGATCTTAAAAGCTGGTTTATGATCTGACCCTGCCCCTTCCCTCTGCTCTGCCCCTTGTCCCCTCAGGGCACACAGAGCTCTCCTTGTGTGCCCAAGCATTCCAAACCCAAACGGAGCTCTGGCTGCGGAAAAACAAACACAAACAGATACAAGTCTGTTCCATTTCTTTTTGAGTTGGTGCTGCAATGAGCAAGTCATCCATGCAGTGTAAAATTCTTGACTGTGGGTGTTTTTGTCGGGCTGGAGACAAAGCTTTTGCCATGAAATATTGACAAATAGTAGGTGAATTTTTCATACCTTGCAGCAAAACTGTCCAGTGGTAAAACCTCGTGGTAAAACCTTTGCAGCAGTTTTCCTCTGTGGGTGGCTGGGACTGAAAAGGCAAATCCAGGAGCATCTTCTGGATGCAATGGAATGTTGAGAAAACAATCTTTTAAGTCAATGACAACAAGAGGCCAGTCTCTCAGTGTCATTGTTAAGTCAGAAATGACACACAGTCGGTCAGAAGGCTAAGTGGCATAAACACACTGTCTTTACTGAAACCACTTCTTTTATAAACTGGTCCGATACAGGTGGACCTGGTTGGTTATTTAATCAATACAATTCACCTGATTGGCTAATTAACAAGACACCCCATTTGTAAACAATCTTATGAGAGTAACAGGAAAACAGGTATTGGAAAAACACCACCTGCAGGTTGTTTTTAATATTGGCTATCATTGTTTATCTCCAGCTCCCTAAAGCTTCCCAGGCTGATTCTGGGAAAATTTATTTAACTTTCTCTCTCTCTGACCAGCCTATCACATGCACAGCTTGGAATCTTTGAAAGAGAGGGAACTCTAGGCTGCACAGGCCCCATGTGCTCTGTGATCTCGTTGATGTTCCTCAGGCCGTGCAGCCATCTCCAGGAATCAGAAGTCTTCTTATGAATGACAAAAACTGGGAAAAGCTGGGCCTGGGGTGCTGCTGGAGCCTGGAGGCCACTGAGGCCTGGCAGTGTCCCCATGTCCCCTCTGGGGACTCCACATTTTAGAAGGCTGCTCTGCTCAAAGGGACACAGCCTTGGCTGGACATAGAATGCTGGACACGGATTTGAGGTATTTTGTGGTGCTTTTTCTGTGACTCCTTCCTGGCAGCAATTCCAGCTGGAATTCCTCCTTGGAGGGGTCATCAGAGCATCTCCCATCAGGAGAGGCTGGGACCAGGCCCTGTCCCTTGTCCCCAGAGCAGGGAAGAATTCCAGCCCTGTGTGAGCTGCTCCTCAAGGAAAGCTGGGATGAAGGGTGGGGCAGCCATTGGGAATAAATTCAACAATAAATGAATAAATAAAATATATAAATATAAACAGGCCAATAATAAATAAAAATAAATATAATATCATTATATAATATATAGAATATGTATGCTATAATATTTTCTATATTAATATAAATATATATAAATATAATATAATGATATAATATATATAATACATATGCTATAATATTATTGAAATATTTTAGTATTTTATCTTTTAAAATAATATAAATCTATAAATATTAATATTATAAATATAGATAAATATAAGTATGTCAAATAAAATAAATAAAAATGAATATAAATATATGTCTTGGTTTAGGGAAAATTTGGGAAGAAACTTTTGAAGTGGGTTTCTTTAGAAAATAAATTCAAGCTGGCTCTCCTCTAACTGGCTCTTCCCCCTTTGCTCTCAGAACCAGGCTTAAAGGTTAAACTTAATATCCAGCATAAACAGAACAGACTGGGGATACAAGCATCATAAAGTCACCCTGAGACAATATAATAATGCATTTTGATACATATATTTACTATGTTATCTAAATAGACATAAATATAAAAATACAAATAAATATCTATGCAAAAAAAGTAAATAAATATAAAATCTGTGGGGGGATTTGGGGGAGATTTGGGGAGGATT